TTTTTTTCTAATAAGATTTTACCATCGATTAGTCCATGCAATACGTTGTCCGTGACAGAATATTTACATGTACACGGTACAATTACGCCCATTATGGGCAGTCTGAAGCCTTAATTGGGTGGCCATGACGAAGAACTGGAGGGTTTGAAACTGGATGGAGTTTGGATACGAGAAATCGAAAAGAATGACTGAAGAACCGTTCTTGTCAATTCGGATGGAAAGAATTTATCGAAAACACTTCTATTACCATTTATAAGTGAAGAAGAGACTTTCAGCCGAGTTTATGGACATATAAAAATGTAAATACACTTTAAAATTGTTAACATTACAACATAAATTTATGGAAAATATAAGCAAAATGTTTTTATATGAATTCCATGTTGTACGAGTCACTTAGATTTTACAAATACGTGTGCCGGGCTGTGAACGAATCACGTATTTGTAAAATCTAAGTGACTCGTACAACATGGAATTCATATAAAACAGAATAATCAACAGTGTTATAGGGGGTCGACTTGTACGTAAATTAAGTAAATATAATTGAAACGTGTTTAAAACATTCACCGAACTTAATAAAAATGTAATTTAAAGAAAAAAAAAACAACATTTTCTAGTTAATTAAAATTTAAATAAATATTTAATAGCTTTTGTTAATATTTAAATTGAACCCTTCCACTTTTTATATTTGCAAGAATCTCACACCTTAAAATCATCGATGCAATAAGACAATGTCTTTGCGTTATGCATCAATCATAACCGACTTCATTTGCTTCGATGATTTTTCCACGTTGGAAACTCGATTAATAAAGTCGTATTTAATTTACAATATTATTTCTAGAATTTAATTTTCACTTTAGCATCATTTGTCGTTGACTTAAAATAGTCAAAAAATTTACATTTTTAATAATTTGTATTGTTGAATGCTTTTCAATCTAATAAAATAATAAACTTATTTATAAAGGCACTTTTAATGCCCACAGGACGAGAAAAATTAATAGAAAAAGAAGAATCCAAGCCACAATAGTATCACGACTTTCCTTTAATCTCACTTTTCACTTTCATTTCCTACAATTGTTCTCGTTTTTTAAACGTAAAATACAGCAAATAAGCTATTATTACCGTTACATTTTAAATACTATATATTAGAAGTGATTAACTTCATAAATTTCTTGATATATAAATTTAGCTGGGAGGCAAAACAAATGTGGTTTCGTGACATCCCATTGATTGGCATCTGGAATTTGCCCACGTGGGTAGTTTCCACATCTTACTTTTTTTTCAACCCCTTTGAAATCGATCAGAAGAATCAATATATTTTTATAAATTAAACTTCAATAAGTCAGAAAACTTTGATTAGTAAACACAGTCGACCCGTTTAGCTCGGAGAAAAACAACTTTCTGCCATTTTTAACGCTTGGGGCTATCAGATAATGTAACTTTATCTCTGTTTGGTCAATGAAATATTGCCTTACTGATTTTTTTTTCTTTGGCCAACTTATATTAAGATAATTACGATTGGTAAGATAATATTTAAATTCTGTTATCAAAAAATATATGATTTATATACTTAAACTATACATAAATGTCGTTATGTAAATAAAGGTAAGAGTTATTAACAATGTTTCATTTTGTGTGGCTTAACAGTGATCGGAGATACGTTTGTACAGTTATTGTCGCCATTTTTTAAAATCCATTAAGTATACATATATAATTAGTTTAAGTCGGATTTTAATGTGTGTATCCGCATTTTCGAGACTTATCAGAAAGGTTTAAGATGATTTAAGCAATGTTATTAGCTGTGTAACGTGAGCAGTGTGCAATTTGTGTGAAGCCCGTGTGCGTGCAACAGGCAACCACACATACTGTACAAACCTGTACAATTTTTTCCGGTTTGTATACACTGTTTCATTCTGTTCTGATCACTAGTTGCCGAGATATAGAACAAATTAATGGTTAAATTTATTATTTGGATATAGTATTACATACACAAACATGATTACTTCTACAATAACCGTATTGGTTGATATGGAATACAGTCATTTTATTTACAAACACAAATTTTGCCGTTTTTATCTATACAATGTCTATTGTGTGTTTCGTTTACACGTACAAAAATACGAAGGTGAATAAAGATTCTATAATTGCTAAATCATTTTCGGTCATTGCTATATCATATTACAAACAATTAAATAATTGATGTTCCTGCAACATTGTTTCAGGAACATCATTGTTTTAGTGTATGCAATACAGTACTGCAGTTATAATGATTGGCATTCTCGATGTTGCAGGAACACCATTTACGAGAAAACTGCAATTTTAGTGTAAAACAGTAAATAATCTTTTAACGGAAAATTGAATATTAGAAAGACTTGTATGAGAATATAAAAAAAAAAAATAATAATCTAGCAACGAGTTACTTAACTTTCCCGGCAACATTTAAAAATGAGTGCGTGGCTCCATCTGTTATGATATTTTATTATTTTTATATTTTTAATTATTATAAAATGGCAAAAAGCTTAATTTTGACGGTAGGGATGAGTTTTATAAAAAATTGTAAACGTTAATAACGAGTAAAATCGTCATAAACACGAACCCATTTATCTCTCCACTATCTCTACCTTTAATTATCATACTTTAATAGAATCAATCCCTCTAACAAACATGCCTCCCTGCAAAATTTCAGAAATTTTCGACAAAAAGCATAGGAGTTATTAAGCTTCCAAGAGGGTGAACAAAATCGGCAACCCATACACACTCATTAAGATCCACACATACAGAAAAATCCCCAAATTTTTATGCATTTCTCGACGTTTCAAGGTCCCTAATCCAAAAATGTAAAAATCTTTGGGAGGGATTATTTTTTGCCGTGTCGCCATACTTTCCCTCTGTATATATACTTACTCTTTATATATAACAACCGGGAAAGTAAAAATTAATGTTCTTAAAAAATTCAAGACTGTGTTTAAGAAAACTACGGTATCTTGGCATCAATTTCTGAAATTTTGCGGGAAGATTTGTTTATTAGGGGGATTGATGCTATTGAACTTCGCTGGTTAAAGGTCGAAGGGGTGGAAAGAGAATAGGAGTCTTTTTTAAACTCTTTCTGCCCTGCGGTCTCTAAGAGGGCCTCTTTTTAAATTTATAATATGTTATTTAAAATATCATAACAGATGGCGCCACTATATGTTGCCGTGAAAGTTAAGCAACTCGTTATTGGATTTTTCAATATGACACGTTGTATATACTGTAACAATGCATAAGCTATATTACGTAGAGACTATGCTGCCGCCATCTATTGACAAATAAATAAAATTAACAACATAACAGACTTGTCTTTAAATTCTTAAAACCAAAATAATGAAAATTTTATTCCCGAATTCGTATATTTAATAACACTGGAAAATATTTTATATTTAATTTCATCTATGTATTTACGAGCGTATAACCCGCGGGCAATGTGTTTAAATTACAAACTTAACTAGTGTTTAGAATTTATCCCAATGAGTAATTTGGGTTACAAATTCATGTAAAATTATCTTTAATTGATTATATAGATTTTTGAAATCTTTAAACTGATAGCAACTAACAAAGGTCCCATTTATTTCAGCCAAACATTTCTTAAACTTGAAAATATTGTAAAACAATATTCTAGTCATGAAGATTAAAAATTTGTTTTGCTCCAATGACTAATGCATAGATACAGTTTAGATGAATAAATTTATTGTTTTTCATTGCATAATTTGGAAAAATCACGTTACTTAGGCAAGATTACAAAAATTTAATATAGTTAGTTTTACCTCTTTCCATTATACATAAGAGAATCCCAACAGATTTGGTCAGGACTATAACGATGATATGAAAATACTGAGGATTTCAAAATCTTCACAATGGTGGTCCAAAGCTTTCAGTAATCCAACTATTTAAATAACAACATAATCCATTCAATTCATTTAAATGATACAACATTTATATAAAGTGATTAACGAAAACCTATCTGAAATACAAGGCAAGAATATATAATTAAACTAGATTAGATTGTTTGATTATACCTTGTATATAGTTGAACTTCATTCATTAATTGTATTTTTGATATTTGAATTGTATATATATATACAGATATCATATAAAATACAATATTAATGGAGAACGTGGCTCTTATGACTTGTTGCGACAAGGTTTGTCCAACCTTGATATAAGTCAGAATTTAATCTTGTTATCAGCCATATTAACTTATTTTGAAATTGTTTTAATAATTTGAATGAATTCTAAGTTATCTGCAAAATTGAAAAGTTTTATCATCACTATTTTGATTTGAAAGCCTATAGTAACTCAATGTCATCTTATATAAACCCATCTATATTTATGAAGTTTTATTAGAAATGACATACCAAAAATATACAGAGTGGCAACTTAGTTAACCATTGGAAAGACTAAATTTCTATCTTACTTATCACAATCACAGATATTATTAGTCATTTAATATGATCAGAATTAGCGTGTCCAAACATGTAAGTTAACAGTAAAAATTATGACATTTAACAATAATTTTATTTAATAAGTATTCAAGATATACATTTTTTAAAATTGTTTTAACGTTTAATGTTGGAGTCAATAAAACCAGAATTTCTTTTAATGGTAGTCTTATTACTTACTCTGCTTAATTTTAATAGTATAGAGGATTCTCAAATTGATTATATTAAGCAGATTCTAGTGTGCTTTATTAATTACAAACTGAAATAAATGATGCTTAGTAACTTAAATAATAGCTTGTTTGATAAATTCCAAATTTATCAGGTGCCACAATTAATTAACTTTAGGATGATACTATTTGTATGTTATTAATATTATCAAAATTTTTATGTTTGACTTTTAAATTCTCTCATTTTTAATTTCAAACATGTAAATAATTAAGAAAGATGACATTGTAAAAATATAAATAATAAATGCATTGCTGTTTATTTATTAAAAGTTTTATTTAAATATGAATATTTTGTATTTAATTATTTATTAAAATATATATAACTACATAATATTTTAAATGTTAAATATATTTAAGTTGTAACCATGGAATTTTGCCTTTTCTTTTATTTACAATCTCCCACATATCAAACTGGAAAGTGCGAGAATCCATTATGTCCACGTACAGTTGACCTTTCAAATGATCCATTTCGTGTTGGATAATTCTAGAAGTCCAACCCTTTGTCTGTACTTCAAACGGTTCTCCTAATTCATTGTAAGCTGAAAAAAAATTATATATCTTATTTACCAAATTATGATATTTTAAATACACAAAAGTTATCAGTAATTATGAAATGACATTGAGTATATTAATTTGTCATTATAAGAAACTATTCTGCATTACAGGCATTAATAAACTATTTTTCTTCATGTCCATCATGAATTTGGCAAGATCTATAACAGTAGTGACTGAATGACAAGGAATATCCCATTTTTTTCCACGTGACTGCTCCAAATTAAACCACTCATAAAAATTTCTGAGACTCTTACCTGCTACTTGGCCTGGTCCTCAAAAACTGGATATTCAAAGTAGCAAAATGAATTCTTAATTTATGCAATGTGTCACTCTAAACTGGAACTTATCCTAACATTCATTAATATCATACCTTCCTTGTGTCTTCCAGCAATACTTTATCAGAAATTAGTTTCTAATACAGTATTGCTGGAAGACATAAAAAAGGTGTGATATTGATGAATGAATTCTTAATTACCTTGGTCAATGGTGAGTTAAAGTGGCAGCCTACTGCTGTAGAAACTCTACAATGTGTAAAAGCACTTTTTATTAAGACCTAGAAGGCAGCTCTCCATATTCCACAGATATTCTGTGACTCCAACAGTATAAAGCTGCTGTTTTCTAGATCTTAGTAAGAAGGGCCTTTATGCTTTGTCCAAACATTCAGGATACATATAAAGAAATAACTTGTATCAAAGAAGTTGCAAGGCAGTATGGTCATTCTAGTAATTTAATTAATTGACATGCTAACACCTACATCAATGATAGGAAAAGAATAAAAAAGGATAGAGCCAGTGTAACTATAGCAGTATTCTATAACACAACCTATAATCATGTCTTTAGAGCTATAGCAAAAAATAAGAACAGCAAGCTTATTTTAAAAGAAACCAGTTGCTATGTAATGAAAAAGACATGCAAGGTATTCATGATATTAGCACATATAGAATATCATGGCATAAGGTTCAACCTTAGCATAGTATATTAGAACAACGTCCCATTCTCTTTTTGACAGGACTAAGAGAACATGTGATGGATATCACAAAAAGTCTATAAAATTTTTATGTACACATTTTATGCCAAAATTTCAAAAATAATACATTAAATAGACTGTGTATATCAACTATATAGTCCCATAAAAAGCCAACCCTTAATCTCCTGGACATGTGGTGTCTCTTTTCAAACAACTATAATCTTTAATTTGTAGATATAGTACTAGGGGCCAATTTTATTTTTATGATAATTTATGTTTTTAACAAATGTTATGTCATACATCTCTTAGCAATTTGTGTTCTTCTACATTTGATAAAAAGTTTTAAAAATCATTAAAAAGTTCATTATATTTTTCATGCATGTGAAAAAATTTTTTATTTATGTTCTCTTATTTTGAAAGAAATTTTGTTTGCTATTTTGTACAAAAATTTCTTGTCTGACAAAAATGATAATACATCGTCAAAAGTACTTGTACCTACATTTTATGTTTAGAAAAAGCTATTTATGCCTAAAAACATCTATTTAATGTGTTATTTTCAGGAAAGGTCTGTGTACCACTACCCTAGCACAACACAACCCTAAGGGTAATGATGCTGTTAAAGGAAGTCAAACAATTAGATATTTATTTTTCTGAGAAGAGCAGAAAATGTAGTAATTTCAAAGACTGAAATGCTTTAGGTATATGTATATATAAACTATAGAAGTAGATAAAAGTGGGAGAGGCAAGAAGAAAGAAATATGGTATTGAAGATATATCTCATTTTTATATTAATTAGCATCTCTATTATAAATATTGGTTGTCCTGGAATAAATAGAAATTTTAAAATTAACATTATAACTGATTATTCATTCTTAAATTTATTTTTTACTTTCTTGGTTATTAGAATATATCAATAACATAAAAAAAGTATGGAAATCATTCAAATTTTTACTCCTCTTTTTTTTTGTATTTCTCAACATTTTGACACTCCACATGCCTAAGAATGTAAAAAAAATCCCCCACTTAAAAAATTGTGTGTATGTTTGTAAGCATCTATTTTGCATTATTTACCAAGACTGGATGAACCAAAAATTTTGAAACTTGTCAAAGCTATTAAATTTTGGCAAGTAAAGGTCAAGGAGTTGGAAGATGGAGGGGATCGTGTGTCATATCTCAAGTAGAGTCAGACTTAATGAAGATTTTATTATTAGCATTTACAATTTTTAAAAACTCATTCCCACCATCAAAATAAGGTTTTGCCTTTTTGTAATAATTAATAATATAAAAAAGCTGGCAAGGGTTCTTACTCAACTTTCCTGGTATTCGAATAAAAGGAAGTCAATAATTTTCAGTTATACTACAAGCACAATATAAATTTAAATAATAAAAAAAGCACAGGAAGAGTAATTCTGTTGAATTATGAGAAATTTATGTAAATATTTAACGAATAACTTAAGTTTAAAAATCACTAACACACAATACATTAGCACAACATTAAAATTATTTGTTGTGTCATCTTTATGTGATTTTATTATTAATAAAAAAATACTTTTTATATTATTAATTAATAGGCAAAAAAGCAAAAGACTAATTTTGAGGATAGAGATGAGTTTTACAAAAAAACTGTAAATGCCAATAACAAGTAAAATTTTCATTAAGTCCAACCCTAATTGAGATATGAAATTTGACTCCCCCCTCTGGTTCCCTTTCCCTCGATTCTTAACCACCAAAATTTAATAGCACCAATGTCCCATATATAGAAATAACCCTGCCAAGTTTCAAAATGTTTGGTTTATCAAATCCTGAGATATAATGTAAAATAGATAGTAACAGATATACAGAATTTTGTATGAGTACTTTCACACTTTTAGGCTCCTTGAGAGTCAAAACATTGAGAAATGCAAAAATCTGGAATCAAAATTTGATTAATCATCGTACTTTCCCTTTGGGTCTGTTCAGAAATGCTTATCTGTTCAACCACTGAGACCAGGAATCACTCAAAATCATTACCTATAAAGTTTCTGATATACTAATTGCTACCAGACTCTCTGATCTACAAGGGCAGGTTAGAAAATGACTGACCAACTACTCACATCATCATTTGCTGCTATCAACTAACTGATCAGTAAGCACTTCCAAAAAGACTCCATAATAGCTGGGAGAATAGAATTATTTTTTAATAAAATCTCAAAGCAGATGGCATCGCATGCAACTATTTTAAACTGAAATATTCTCTTTTGATAAATAGAGAAATTTATCATAATTCAACAAAATTACTGTTTTTAAGCTTTTGTATTATTTAAATTTTATATAACAGTATAATTGAAAATTATCATACCTCCTCTGTCCCTTTAACTTCCTGTTTGAATGCTGGGAAAGTCACGCAAGAGTCTTGCCAATATTTTTTAACTTTAATTATTGGAGAATCCAATTCCTGTATTTGGAATCTAAGTGTTGTTTATCTACACAAACAATTATTTTTATGAATTTCAAATTTAATATAAGAATTGCTTAAACAATTCATCTATTTGTATTAATTTATAATTGTACATAATATGAAATTTACAATAAATCTTGAGGATTAAATTTGTACATTTAAAAGTCCAATACATAAAATAATCTAGACTCAAGTCAGAATGATCACACACAAAAAAATTAATATTTTTTTTTTACCAATCAAAAATAACTTTATCTTCTAGAATAAAATTTAATTAGTAATCTCATCTATCACCAGGATACACTAATAAACATTGCATCATGATTTAGTCTGTATCAAAATATTTTGTTTGATTATAAAAATAAAACCCAATCCAATAGAAGAAAAAAACAAATTATAACACAACAGACTGCTGCTTTTAAAATTAAATAATTTCTGGAAAATATATATTAAATGTGAACCACCTTGAGTTTAGCATCCAGAAATATAACTTGAATTTCATAATACTGGGAGACTCAGCCTTGTTTACTTACTTAACTACAGCCTAACCTATTTCTTTAACAATTGTTTTATCATTTAAATATCATATTTCACACCTGTGAGTTAATCGTTCAACACCTTCTCAGATGCTAAAAGGACACTTTCACATAACCTTCTGACCTATTGTTGCAAATTTGTCAAATGAACATAGCAACAGACTGATTTTCGAGGTGGTCTCCGTCATTCCTCCGATGTGTTATCATTGTCACCCGACCCTCAGAAGCAATTAGTTCCAACTCATCACGTTTGCGTAATGCCAAATTCTTGGATTTATTGCTTCGACCTACAAACATATTAAGTGCCTATCCTTTAGATTACTTCATCAGCAACCCCACCTAATAAGTGCCTCATATTGGGATTATTGACGTCGCCGACTCGGAACACTTAAACCAAGACCTTGTAACGACTCAACCAACCTCAAGGTAAGTATTGCCACGCGAAAATTGTAAACTCTCTCTCTTGAATGCTTATTACACTCCTTCTATTGAACTTATCAACTTAGTGTAAAGGATATATAACCTATCATTACCCATTAAACTGTTGTTACGTTAACCTAGTCTCTGCATGAGTCACTAAAGCAAAGATATAGGAAAGGTCAATTTAGAAGTGTCTAAAAGTGTAGAATGCCCTTTTAGAGACTTCTAAATTGATCTTTTCAAGCTTGTATATTTACTATGATAAATTAAAATATTATCAAAATTTATCTAAAATGTAAAATTTGATGAAAAAATTCATTATTATTTTTTCTAATGTATAAATGTAAATATTAAATTTCAAATATTAATCTTGATATTTTGATTATAGGTTTTACATATACTATGAAGGAAAGTCATTAAATAGCAGGAATTTTAATCTAATATTCATGAAGATGCACTGTGAAAAATCCTATTGGAGGACACAAAATGACTCCTTAGCAATATGCCATATAGGTGTCAGGATGATCAAGCTGTATGCACCAATGCAATAACTCATACAACATGGCTGCTCCACTGTTGAACTGCACCATGGAAGAGCACCAAAGTGTCATTCAAATTTTATTGTCAGAGGGAGTAAAACCTGAAATCTACAGGAAAATGATGGTTCAATATGGAGACAGTTGTTTGAGTCATAAGAGAATGTATGAATGAGTGAAAAGATTTAAAAATGGAAGATAAAAATCATTGATAAACACCAGAATGGGAGACTAGTTTGCATGGCAACTGAGACAATGAAACAGCAGATTGAATAGCAAATCCATAACTACAGGCATGTTACTGTTGATGAAATTGCCATAGAATTCAATATGAGTCACAGCTCTGCATACAATATTATGCATGATGACCTTGATATAGAAAAGTATGTAACAGATGAAACTTGAAGCAGCTATCCAAGCAGCTATCCATAGCATATTCAGTGAATGCACAAAGTGATAATTTCTTTAAGTATCCTTGTAAAAAAATTTATAATAAAATTTCCTATTATTTAATGACTTTCTTTCCCTCATATATATATGAGAGAACATCTATATGAGATATATGAAGGAAAAATATACCGTATTTACTCGCATATAAGACGAGGTGTGACTCTAAAGATCAAAATAAAATTAGATTTATTAATAATTTATTAACAATTAATTATTAACAATTTTAATTTTATTTTGTTTAATCACAAATAAAATATAAAATGCACATAAATGCACACATTGTCCTGCAAAAATTAATGGCGTTTTAAACTTTAAGGAAAAATCTTGTAAAATTGACAACATTGTTCATGTAAAGTTGGATAATGGGGAACCTTTTTTGCCAATTCTTAATAGTCAAATCCACTCTCTGCTGATTACATTTATGAGTTTCTCCAAATTCTGATTTACAAATAATCATCTGTTTTAATGTGGGAATGGATTAAAACTTATATTGGGCACCCATGTAATTTTGGAATTTCAATTTGAAATTCAATTCAAAAGCTTTGCTTTTCTGATTGCTATTCATCTTTACTCCTGACAATACACAAGAACGATTGAAACGATCCAGATAAAATACTTTTGTTTTTAAATACCAGAGGGTGAGTATCTGCTAAAAAATGCGAATACACAGTTTACAAAATTTATTGCAAAATGCAAATAATCCTTTGCTACGCATATAGGACAACCTAGGTTTTTAATGCAGTGAAAAATGAATAAAAATCTTGTCTTATATGCGAGTAAATACAGTATATATACTGTATTTTTTTCTGGATGCTCACCCTCAGGTGTTTAAATACAAAAGTATTTTATCTGGGTCGTTTGAATCATTCTGTATTGTCAGGAGTAAAAATGAATACTAATAGGAAAAGCGAAGATTTTAAATTGAATTCCAAAATCACACGGGAGTTTGATATGTTTTAATCCATTCCTGTGAAAACGGATGATTATTCGGAAATCAGAGTTTGGAAAAACTCATAAGTGTAATTGATGGAGAGTGGATTTCACTGTTAAGAACTGGCAAAAAAAGGTTCCCCATTGTCCAGCTTTACATGAACAAACTATGTTGTCGATTTTACAAGATTTTTCTTTAAAGTTTAAAATGCCAGTAATTTTTGTGGGACAATATGTGCATTTATGTGCATTTGATATTTTATCTGGGATTAAACAAAATAAAATTAGAATTGTATTAACAAATCTAACTTTCTTTATTTTGATCTTTAAAGTCACACCTTATCCTATACATGAGTCTTATATAAGAGTAAATACTGTATATGAAATAAAAATGAGTTTATATTGCATATTTCTGAGAAAATTAACTCACCTTTTACTTTAATTTCATAACATCTTGGTACAATTGCACTATATCCTTTGATACAGGCACATCCTTCAGGAAAATTAATTTTTCGATTATTTATAACAGACAATGTTGGATTAATGAATACCTATTAAAAAATTTATTTCAGTAAGAGCAGGGAATAAATACAAATAAATAATAATGAAATTAATATTATTCAATTATAACATGAATTTCATATGTTATCAGTGTTATCAGTAATATAATAATCTGTTGATTTTGTAACTACTTAATAATAGATATTCAAAAAAAAAATTTTGTTTTTAGAATATCATGTAGATCAGTCATGAGCAACCAGCAGCTTCCAAGATCCTAATATGCAGCCCCCAGGGCTTTGGCAACTATTTTCTGCCTTGTGTAGCCTTAATTAAGCTAATATTCATGACCAAAGAATATTCAAACTAAATTTGACCACTGAACAAAATTACTGAACAAAATTACGTATAGATTACTAGCTTGAATATAATTAGCATAGATTATTTTAGTGTTCAGCAAATGTTATTTTATTATATAACAACCAGTACATGTTACTCATCATCTAGAAAAAGTTGCTCACCACTGATGTAGACTTTGTACTATTTGATTGATTGATTAGTGTATGCAAAGCATCCGCACATTTGGATCATACAGCTAGTCACAGTTATATGACACTACAACTATTTACAGGTGAAACTGTCATGTAATTGAATCGGCCAGCATGACTAGGACTGGGAACAATACCCCAAACTATATAATTCATGAGTTTTAACCTTAATTCCTTACATAGCTAAGCTGATATCTTAATGAGTGACCATACGATTAACCTTTGCGTTATTTAATTTATGCAACTGTTACAATCAAAATGAAATTTATAATAGTCATTATATGCATTTTTATATTTTATAAACAAACTGATAGTACAAAGACAAAATAAATAAAAAGTAAATCAGGAGAGTGTATATTCTATCTTTAATATCATCAATAAAATTGGATTGCATCTTCATATCTTTGCATTCTTACGTAGTTGATACATGTAAAAATGGATCTGTCACAATAATAACTAATGTAACATTCTATTCAAAAAATAAATTAAAAAATAAAAAATACTGCAAAGTCAACAGTTTCAACAATATAGTAATGCTCTTTTCATACAAAGCATACAAAATTACAGATAACTTATTATTGAGAAATTTAACAGTTTAATTTTACAATCAGCCAAAATTTTATTAATGAAAAAATAGTGATCTCTTGTGACATAAATCAATGAGATATTTAAATATAGGAAAGGATAAGCAATATGTAAAATTTACTAATGTAATTAAGGTATAAAAATAAAATAAAGAAAAATTAGTAACTTACCAAACAGGAAGTTAAGATAAAGGAAACAAATGCATTATATTGTAATATAAGCAGTTCAAGGAAAAGTATAAACAAAACTTTTGCTGTTCATATTCAATTTATCTTATAGTTAATNTAGCGTAAATGGATATAATGCCTGAAGTTGGCTTATTTTTTTTAATATATTTTTTAATATCCTTCATATTTATGTTTTTAATTAGTATCTAATGTTTTTATGCACAAAAATATATTTAAATGATCTCCGACTCTTTGCTATTTCTAGTAAATTTATCATTAATATTCAAGAATTTCTATATAAGAATGTGATGAATCTAAAGTTTATATCATCCCAAATTTTCTCAATGAGAAAAAATTACTTTTATATCAGAATATAATTAATAATCAGTAAGAAAATGCATGAATAGAATTATCATGCTGAAATAAATTTGAACACAATAAGTCATGTTAAACATTTTATACAGGTTTCTATAGAATACATAAATTTTTATTAACAAAGTTAATTACAAACTTCAAAATTTTTCAATAGATATTTTACATATATATTAATAATACAATACTATGTATACAGGGTAATAGAATGAAAATGCCTTATATCTTAAAAATACATTAATTATCAATATTAGTCGAAGGGTTTCCATATTGATTTATGTAAAATATTAATTTTATATTTGTAACAATAAATTTAATATTTGACAATGAAAGTTATTTTGTGTATTCTACATTTCGTTATCAATCAAATTTATTTCTTTAACTTCCTTAGTAAGTACAGTTCTCTGCTTTCTTAGAGATTAAGGCAAAAAGTTCCACAAAAATCCTAGTACTTTTGGGTTTTCCAGGAGTACGAAAACTATCATAACAGTTTTGGTACCCAAGGATGAATTAGAAAGCTTTAAAATATCAGATTTTAGTGAAATTTTTCATCTTGATCTACATTTCAGTTTTAAAAATCAAATATTTTGAAACTGAAATCTTTAAACTCTGAAACTGTATAATTCCCACCTAAAATTAAGCATTTGAATTAAAAATTAAAGCTGTATTTTTAGTTTAAACTGATTATTATTATGTAATTTTAACTCTCTCTTTTTAGTGCAAGTTTATGAAAGCTTCTTTTTTTATATTCAAGAGTTTAGCTAGGCCTACAATTGGGATTGTCAAGTGGTAAAGAATGGAGCCTGACATATCTAGGTCAAACCATTCACAAAAATTTCTGAGTCAACCAGAACTGAATTCATATTCCATAGAATGGTATGCTTATGCCCTTACAATCTTAGCTATTCAGTCATCAGTTTGGATTGATTGTTAAGAGTCATGTTGATACCATTGATATTAATAAGATATCTAATACAATAAATATACAATAAAATAAACTTACTGTTTGGATTTCTGCTGAATTGATAGCATTAACATCAACACTTTGAGCTTTACATCTCAAATTTTGATCACCAATTGGACAAATGTGTTCGTAAGGTGGTTTTGGATACGGTATTGGCCAAAGACTCGAATACCATTGTAAAAATCTTGAAATAAACGCTTTTGGAAGCTTGCTAGACATTCTTTTTACTGTTTCTGCAAATAAATACTTTCATAATTATTAATAATGTAAAAGATTAAGTATCACATTAATAAAATAAATTCCAATAATATTTAAATGTATTTTATAGCATAAAAACTTGGGATTGCCACCAACAAAGAATTAAAAAGTAGGACAATTTTAAGAAAAGCCAATATTTTAATATTGTATTTTCTTTAAAATGTTAAAAGTACCACTGATATATTTAATTCTTATAATTTTTTAAATTTCAACTTTCTTGTTAATTTTTAATGTCATGTTTATTTATTCTCATAGTTTTCAAATGAGAAACTCAGACACAAAATATATATCCATTAAGAAAAACTTGACATACAAGCACGATTTTTTAATTAGCCGCAGTAAAGATTTCAGAATGTCTAAAATAAGTGTTTTCCTTTTACAAAAAAGACAAAAATGCTTATATGATATGATTATTATAATTTACATTATGTATTTAGTATTCATATGCTGGTCGCACACATCGAATAACATGAAGATTAAAAAAAGATAAGACATGAACAGTGCCGGCCCGAGGCAAGTTTTAGGATGGAGCAAGATCCTATTATGGCGCCCCCCAAAAAAATTGAAAAGTGAAAAAAATATTTTTTCCTTTAACTTTCTTTACCACTGAGGCGCCCCCTAGGACTTAGCGCCTGGAGCGGCTGCTCAGTTTGCCCTATGGTAGGGCAGGCTCTGGACATGAACTCCAAAAGAGGCATTTGCCAATCCCAGAGTTAGACAAAAAAATCAACAGAACCATACTTGTATATGTGACCCTTCACAAGATATTCGCCTCCAAAGGTCGGTTTTTACCACAAATAAGCATAATGCTCGTTCTCTACGCTTCACATCAGTCAAGACTGGCTATCACTCACCTCGACCAACACTCTGCACGTAATCGTGCACTTGGTGACAGCCATCACGCCCCCTAAAACTATATAACATTGATTACTCCACAAAGTCAAGTGGGCTACTCAAAGCCAGCACAGTCACGTGGGCTAAATAGTTAAACACAATAATGTTAGCCGAGCAACGCAAGTCCCGATTACATGCAACTTGGAAGTTGGCCGATTTCGGGGGGGGGCTGTATCTCACCAAGGGTCACAGGTATAGATATGGTTCCTTTGACTTTTTTTATCCTACGGATATGGTCTACCACTTCGATAAGGTCCAAACCGTCTCATTCATAGGTGAAATTGAATCGAATTGATTTAATTACATAAATGAGGATTTACGTTTTAATTCGGCAATAACCGAAATGATGACCTTCTGTAATTATTTATTCTCAAAGTAATGCTACAACTGTGAAAAACAAATTTGTTTACCGAAACCAAATTAAAAATTAAATAAATGAAAATAAAAATCTGTTTATCACGTTTATTTACAATTAAACTTTAAAGTAATTCGAAAACATCGTAAAATTTTTAATTAAAAGCATTAAATTAATTAAAATTTATACTTAATTGATGAAGGTAAACATTACCACGTGATCACACTAATACCATTCTTCGCTGCGGAATTGATCTTACTAATCCCGCATTTTCTAATAGTTCGGGAAAAATCCTTAATTTAGTATTTAATTTTTCAAAACATATTTTAAAATAAAAGTAAAATAATTAAAATATATTTAATTATTTTTTAAATGAAAAATGTATTTTTCACACTTGACTATAATATAAAAAATAATCAACATCTTAATTATTTTATTATTATTATTATTATTACCATGGAAAAATTTATTTAATATCTCGATCGATATTCTAAAGTTTAGAATATATTAAATTCGATCCCAATTAGATTTTTGTAATTGTCACGTGACCAAAATGACAAATTAAAAAAATTTAATTTAAATATTAATACGTTATTACAAATACAAAAAAAATCAATATAAACGATGGATTAATACAATTTAGATTTTTTAAATAATAACGTTTTTTAATTTTGTGAAGCAGACGACAATTTTTTGTTATTTTTGCCGTCGTCAAGGCAACGGCGTTCGAAGTTCGTTCGACGTTCGACAGATCTTTAATTAAGAGTTTTCGCTTAATATTCGTTTATTTTACGAATTGATCAAGTTAAAAGACGATAATCTTCCATCTGATTGTCGGAGTAGGAAAAAAATTAGGAAAATTTCTTAAGAGAACGGTTTGAAAAATGAAGAAAAGAACTTTGGGAGCGACGAGTAAACGTCGACATACGAAAGAAATGTCCACCGAGGTTTGTATACATTCAACGTAATTATAAATTTTCGAAATATTAAATAAGCTATTGAAAAATGTATTTCAATAGTGATAAATATTGTAATTTTTATAATAATTTTAATAATTGTAAATGGGTATCTTTAATGTACTACTCGTAGAATTTGAGTTTTCTGTTCTACAACACTTTTGAAACGATTCTGGTCGCATTGTGCGATGTTTCTGATGCCATTCTAATGCGTTTGTTTGGAAGAAGAACGTCCCCACTCAAAAATTACTATATATTTTTTAGCACGCTTCACGGTAGTGCTGAAGCGCTTATGTTAGAACTGTCAGATTTTCACCGCATGCGCAATGACTTTACTTTCGTTACCTAAGTGTTATGTTCCGTTCAATCTATTCATTGCCCATGTCCTCCAAGCGCATGCGCAAAACGAAACAACATTTTCGTTTAGTCACTGAGCTATAGTAAAAACTACCCGGTTAGTATATTGTATTCAATTAAATTCTATAATAAATTTAAAATAATAATAATTATTTAACACGTAAAAATAATATTAAAGTAGCCAAGACATAGCCAAATATTGTAGCGCCACATCACTAGCGGACATTTGAAATTTGCCGACTAGGACGGTTGGTTAACCGAGGGGTCGGATAAATGAGGTTCTATATAATTTAAAACTACTCTATACACTAAGAGCATTCATAAGTTTGGTCAGGTCCACAATGAGTTCTCAGGTAGTGACAGATCAGACCAGCTTATCTAAATCAAAACACCCTATGAAAATTTTCTGTGACTTCGACTCAGACTCAAACCTAATTCAGCAGAGTGGCAGGCTGACATCTTTACTGCCTTAGCTAGCCAGAACGCAATTAGTATAAGTTATTAAAAAAAGTTGGTTTCAGATTTAAAGAAATATTCTAGTGAAATCATATTAAAGATCTATTAAACAGAAATAATATCAGAAAAAGTAATATTGTTCCTTAAATAAGTCTTGCCTACATAATCAGGAGAAACTATTGTATAGGTAATAAGCAATAGTTAACAATAAGTTATTATTGTGAAATAATGAGGTGTTTTTTTGTATCAATTAATGTAAACACTGTGTGATCTCAATTTATTTTGTAACCAATGACCATTGAGACTTCACTGAACAATTACTGTTTTTGGAAAGATGATATATTTAAAGTGAAAGCATTATTAACTGTAAAAAAATTAAATGAATAAAGAAGACCATGAGATAAAAAACAGTTGCCAAAGCCCTGGGGCTGCATATTAGGATCTTGCAAACTTCTGGTTGTTCATGACTGTTGCATAGTATCTATTGTATTTCCACATATATAAGAGCATGCTCTTGCATGTAAAAATACTTGTTTTTACATTTTTGAAATACATGTCCCGCTTCTCTTATAAAAACATGCCTCGCATACTCTTACATGTGGCTAGTTTGTTTTGGCTTAAAAGATCACTTTAGCTTATTGATACTGCTGTGTCAATATAAATTAAATGTAAATTTACTGATACAATAAGTACTTAGTCACATCTCTGTGATAATCCTTAATAAAAAAGAAAAAGAAATGCTTCTGATATTATAAAAATTTTCTAGGTACTTTGCAGAATATTGTTCCATCTATAAGATCATGTTCTTATATGTGTGGAAATATAGTAAATATTGTAGTTGCTTTGGGATTCACTGACAGATATGTCAGTGAATTTCCAAAGCAACATTAAGTGGGGTAAGTGAATAAGACAAAACCAGAAGTTCCACTAATTATAATCAACTCTGACATTAAAATGACATGCTAAAACAATTAAAGAAAGTATAACTTCAAGATTTAATAATTATAAGTATTATTAGTGATTAATAGTAATTCATCCAGCATGTAATTGAAATAACAAATTCCAGCAATTTAAATGACTGCATTGTGAGCAAATAATGATTAAAATAATCAATAGTTAATGTTTAAGGAACTGGTTCACACTAATAGACGATAATGATTGTACATTATCAAAACGACAATTTAAAAAATGCTTATTGATAAACATTATAATTAGAGATGGGCAAATATCACTTTTCTTGAATTCAAATATTAACCAGATCCTCAAATATCTTGAATACTCGAATACATTGAATATTTGGGAATTTAATTACCTTACACAACTTATTTGGTGAATAATTTATTTAATATTTAACTTGTTTTATTTATTTCAGTATATTAATAAAGTAAAACAATTTACTACATTTTAAGAAATGAAATTTCAAACTTTTAATTTTGCTTCTTTTAGGTACTCTTATCTCAACTAAAATAAGTTAACAAATTATTGTTCTTATTCTCATCTATTGCAGATTTTTATTTAAAAAACAAAAATTTTAAAATATTCAAGATCTGATCTGCTTCTTTTCTTGCCATAAATTAAATCAGAGCTGCCGAAGAGGCACTGTCTGTACACAGCGACAGATACAATACCATTGACAGAAAAAAAAAATTTTAATTTATTTGTTCAAGCTTCAAAACATTGCTTTAAAAACATTTATGATGGCAAATATTATTTATTGTAGCATCTGTAATACAATCATCATGCATATTGTAATAAAAGATATTTATTAATTATTCAAATATTTTTAAGTTTTGAGATGGCCTCCCCTTTGAGTACTTCTGAATCTGCCACTCGATTATACATATGGTGTAATATTGGAGGTATTTCTAGTAGTGAAATTTATTTTTTTATCAATTTTTTTATCAATTTGAGATCTTGAATCTTAAATACTCTTTAGTATTTCAGTATTTGAGGAAAGCATTTCTCCATCTCTAATTGAAACTACAAGTCTGATTACAATAAGCAAAGTTTTATAAATGTATTTTAACTTATATGTTTCAGGACTTGTTAATTCTGGTAATATTAGGTAACTGATAACACTATTCAAGATTACAATAAGCAGATTCTACTGATATATGTACAGTAGAACCTCGATTATCCGCCCTAATTGGGGACTGGGGTTGGTCGGATAATTGAAAAGTCGGATAACCGAAAAATATGAAAAAATACATTATTAGTATAGTATATTATTGATAGTATATCCCATGTAATTAGTATATCGCTATTAACCTATTTTGCGTTGAATTTTCATCGATGTTAAGCCTAACAAAAATTTTTTAAAATAATAATCGNGCCTTATATCTTAAAAATACATTAATTATCAATATTAGTCGAAGGGTTTCCATATTGATTTATGTAAAATATTAATTTTATATTTGTAACAATAAATTTAATATTTGACAATGAAAGTTATTTTGTGTATTCTACATTTCGTTATCAATCAAATTTATTTCTTTAACTTCCTTAGTAAGTACAGTTCTCTGCTTTCTTAGAGATTAAGGCAAAAAGTTCCACAAAAATCCTAGTACTTTTGGGTTTTCCAGGAGTACGAAAACTATCATAACAGTTTTGGTACCCAAGGATGAATTAGAAAGCTTTAAAATATCAGATTTTAGTGAAATTTTTCATCTTGATCTACATTTCAGTTTTAAAAATCAAATATTTTGAAACTGAAATCTTTAAACTCTGAAACTGTATAATTCCCACCTAAAATTAAGCATTTGAATTAAAAATTAAAGCTGTATTTTTAGTTTAAACTGATTATTATTATGTAATTTTAACTCTCTCTTTTTAGTGCAAGTTTATGAAAGCTTCTTTTTTTATATTCAAGAGTTTAGCCAGGCCTACAATTGGGATTGTCAAGTGGTAAAGAATGGAGCCTGACATATCTAGGTCAAACCATTCACTAAAATTTCTGAGTCAACCAGAACTGAATTCATATTCCATAGAATGGTATGCTTATGCCCTTACAATCTTAGCTATTCAGTCATCAGTTTGGATTGATTGTTAAGAGTCATGTTGATACCATTGATATTAATAAGATATCTAATACAATAAATATACAATAAAATAAACTTACTGTTTGGATTTCTGCTGAATTGATAGCATTAACATCAACACTTTGAGCTTTACATCTCAAATTTTGATCACCAATTGGACAAATGTGTTCGTAAGGTGGTTTTGGATACGGTATTGGCCAAAGACTCGAATACCATTGTAAAAATCTTGAAATAAACGCTTTTGGAAGCTTGCTAGACATTCTTTTTACTGTTTCTGCAAATAAATACTTTCATAATTATTAATAATGTAAAAGATTAAGTATCACATTAATAAAATAAATTCCAATAATATTTAAATGTATTTTATAGCATAAAAACTTGGGATTGCCACCAACAAAGAATTAAAAAGTAGGACAATTTTAAGAAAAGCCAATATTTTAATATTGTATTTTCTTTAAAATGTTAAAAGTACCACTGATATATTTAATTCTTATAATTTTTTAAATTTCAACTTTCTTGTTAATTTTTAATGTCATGTTTATTTATTCTCATAGTTTTCAAATGAGAAACTCAGACACAAAATATATATCCATTAAGAAAAACTTGACATACAAGCACGATTTTTTAATTAGCCGCAGTAAAGATTTCAGAATGTCTAAAATAAGTGTTTTCCTTTTACAAAAAAGACAAAAATGCTTATATGATATGATTATTATAATTTACATTATGTATTTAGTATTCATATGCTGGTCGCACACATCGAATAACATGAAGATTAAAAAAAAGAAAAGACATGAACAGTGCCGGCCCGAGGCAAGTTTTAGGATGGAGCAAGATCCTATTATGGCGCCCCCCAAAAAAATTGAAAAGTGAAAAAAATATTTTTTCCTTTAACTTTCTTTACCACTGAGGCGCCCCCTAGGACTTAGTGCCTGGAGCGGCTGCTCAGTTTGCCCTATGGTAGGGCAGGCTCTGGACATGAACTCCAAAAGAGGCATTTGCCAATCCCAGAGTTAGACAAAAAAATCAACAGAACCATACTTGTATATGTGACCCTTCACAAGATATTCGCCTCCAAAGGTCGGTTTTTACCACAAATAAGCATAATGCTCGTTCTCTACGCTTCACATCAGTCAAGACTGGCTATCACTCACCTCGACCAACACTCTGCACGTAATCGTGCACTTGGTGACAGCCATCACGCCCCCTAAAACTATATAACATTGATTACTCCACAAAGTCAAGTGGGCTACTCAAAGCCAGCACAGTCACGTGGGCTAAATAGTTAAACACAATAATGTTAGCCGAGCAACGCAAGTCCCGATTACATGCAACTTGGAAGTTGGCCGATTTCGGGGAGGGGGGCTGTATCTCACCAAGGGTCACAGGTATAGATATGGTTCCTTTGACTTTTTTTATCCTACGGATATGGTCTACCACTTCGATAAGGTCCAAACCGTCTCATTCATATGTGAAATTGAATCGAATTGATTTAATTACATAAATGAGGATTTACGTTTTAATTCGGCAATAACCGAAATGATGACCTTCTGTAATTATTTATTCTCAAAGTAATGCTACAACTGTGAAAAACAAATTTGTTTACCGAAACCAAATTAAAAATTAAATAAATGAAAATAAAAATCTGTTTATCACGTTTATTTACAATTAAACTTTAAAGTAATTCGAAAACATCGTAAAATTTTTAATTAAAAGCATTAAATTAATTAAAATTTATACTTAATTGATGAAGGTAAACATTACCACGTGATCACACTAATACCATTCTTCGCTGCGGAATTGATCTTACTAATCCCGCATTTTCTAATAGTTCGGGAAAAATCCTTAATTTAGTATTTAATTTTTCAAAACATATTTTAAAATAAAAGTAAAATAATTAAAATATATTTAATTATTTTTTAAATGAAAAATGTATTTTTCACACTTGACTATAATATAAAAAATAATCAACATCTTAATTATTTTATTATTATTATTATTATTACCATGGAAAAATTTATTTAATATCTCGATCGATATTCTAAAGTTTAGAATATATTAAATTCGATCCCAATTAGATTTTTGTAATTGTCACGTGACCAAAATGACAAATTAAAAAAATTTAATTTAAATATTAATACGTTATTACAAATACAAAAAAAATCAATATAAACGATGGATTAATACAATTTAGATTTTTTAAATAATAACGTTTTTTAATTTTGTGAAGCAGACGACAATTTTTTGTTATTTTTGCCGTCGTCAAGGCAACGGCGTTCGAAGTTCGTTCGACGTTCGACAGATCTTTAATTAAGAGTTTTCGCTTAATATTCGTTTATTTTACGAATTGATCAAGTTAAAAGACGATAATCTTCCATCTGATTGTCGGAGTAGGAAAAAAATTAGGAAAATTTCTTAAGAGAACGGTTTGAAAAATGAAGAAAAGAACTTTGGGAGCGACGAGTAAACGTCGACATACGAAAGAAATGTCCACCGAGGTTTGTATACATTCAACGTAATTATAAATTTTCGAAATATTAAATAAGCTATTGAAAAATGTATTTCAATAGTGATAAATATTGTAATTTTTATAATAATTTTAATAATTGTAAATGGGTATCTTTAATGTACTACTCGTAGAATTTGAGTTTTCTGTTCTACAACACTTTTGAAACGATTCTGGTCGCATTGTGCGATGTTTCTGATGCCATTCTAATGCGTTTGTTTGGAAGAAGAACGTCGCCACTCAAAAATTACTATATATTTTTTAGCACGCTTCACGGTAGTGCTGAAGCGCTTATGTTAGAACTGTCAGATTTTCACCGCATGCGCAATGACTTTACTTTCGTTACCTAAGTGTTATGTTCCGTTCAATCTATTCATTGCCCATGTCCTCCAAGCGCATGCGCAAAACGAAACAACATTTTTCGTTTAGTCACTGAGCTATAGTAAAAACTACCCGGTTAGTATATTGTATTCAATTAAATTCTATAATAAATTTAAAATAATAATAATTATTTTATTATTATTGTCGGCATCCGAGTTTCTCATTTGAAAACTATGAGAATGAATAAAAATTATATTAAAAATTAACAAGGAAGTTGAAATTTAAAAATTTATAAGAATTGAATATATCGTCTTCTATTAATTTTACAAGCCCTTCTTTTTTACTTATCATAGCTGGGGCCTCACCCGTAATTACACCAGCTATATTGGATAGGGATAAAGCGCGTTAATGTTGTTTTTTTTTACTGCTTCATATAAATATCTTGAGTTTGTCGTGTCTTTTAATGACACTAATGAGAACATTTCTTCAGTTACACTATATTCGTCATTAATACTTCTAATAAAAATGGCGAATTGAACCGTATCAGTACTTTCATCCATGACCAAAGAATAACATGTAAACACACAGGCTTTACTTTTCAATATACAATATTTCCCGAGATCGCCAATTCTCCTGAAAATAGTTTGATGAGACAAACTAATTTTAGAAATATCACTTTTCTTGTCTGGGCAAATTATATCTGCAACACTTTCCATGCATTCCTTAATAAACTCGCCATCAAAAAATGGTTTCGATTTTTTGACGATTAAATTTGCGACTACATAACTAGCCTTCACGAAGGATTCTGTCTGAGTTCTAACGTTGCTAAAAACCTTTTGTTGAGATATAAGACCTTCTTTTCAGTACCATTACTTGGTCTTTGAGACACACTCCTTGATATGCATCGAATTTGGAAGCGTTTTTGTGTATAACGCCTTCTCAAATTATACTCTTTGAAGACAGGTATTGAAACTCGACAAATTAAGCAGAGTGCCTCACCTTTCACCTCAATAAAAAAATCCTCTGCCCATTTCTTATTAAATAACCTTCTTTCATCGATATATTTCCTTTTCTTAGAAACTGTTTTTTGTTGAGTCGTAGAAGCCATGCTGAAGGGTAAATGTTCAATAATTAGTTATTTTAAAACTAATAAAAATAATATGTATTTACTTACTTGTCTTAAAAAGAAACAACTATTAAATATATTTTAAAAATAATATAATTTATTGTTTCACAAATAAAAACAAGAGATATAGGTAACCTCCGTATAACACGGCACTTCTATAGCACGGATTCGCTCTAACACGGTTCGAGAATTGGGAACATCCCCCGTATAACACGGCACTTCTATAGCACGGGTTCACTCTAACACGGTTCGGGAATTGGGTAAAACCCTCGTATATGAAATGTAATAAAGGGTGCGTTCTTTTATATTTCTGCGTAACTCCGCGCGAGCATTCTAATTGTTTTCGTTGCTACTTTGAATGCTCTTTCAACAAATAATCCATTTAATGGTTAAATTTTACAATTGGGACCCTTCTTTTGCCTCTAAAAGCTCATTTTAGAATTATAGATTCCTCTACCCGATACTATGGATAGTGCGGGCGCCGCCATCTTTCTTTCACCGTCGTTCCTAAATGCCTACAAACAGCGGCGCACTCCCGTTACAGACCGACCGCTATTAACGAACGCACCCACAAACTGTTACCAGTTGATGATGCTCATGCTGAGATCATCATAAAAAATGAATAATCCTCTGGTAAAATATTTAATTAAATAATAAATATTTTATCTATGAAAAACTGAACAATAAATCCGATTTAAATAAGGATTTAACAACATATTTTTTAATTTTTGGAACCTAACTCCCTTTTCGCACTAGTTCTTTGTTTCGTATAACACGGATTCGCATAACACGGCAATTTTCTGGAACGTAACTCCCGTGTTATTACGGGGGTTACCTATATATATATATTTTTTTTCGGGCTTCTAACCGATCTTCAGGAGTTTACAGAGTATAAATAAAATAGTTTACTAAATAAAATATGTATTTGGTTTCCCGGCTTTATACCTATTTTATTTTTGAGTGGAAAGGAAAAAAGAAAGAATCAGAGTTTCCAGATGTTTTTAGTGTTTGTAGCTAAAAATTTTCTAAAAAGTAGCCATCTCAATAGTATGTATAATTTTACGTCTTTATGAAACTTCTTTATTGAGGTTTATGCCGTTGAAATAAATAAATAAATTTGTCAGTTTTGTTTGCACGTTTATTGGGCCGCATTGGAACTTGCCTTGGGCCGCGGATTGGACATCCCTGATTTAATTCTAGATCAGATTATAACGAAATTGAGGATATTGAAAATTATTTTAGATTTAGTTTTCTCAAGTAACTTTCAGGAAAATATTTTGTTATACATTCTTGGAAGCATAATAAGATTATTATTAAATAATATAACATGTACTGATCAAAGCTCCTGAAAACATAGGTTGAGTATGAAAAGTTGACTTTTCTATCAGAAAATTTTCTTTATTTTGTGTCTTTTGATTTCCTAATTGATTTATCAAATGAAGTTTTTAGTATTATAAAATATTCCGAAAAAGCATTATAGTTATTAATATTTGAACAAAAATGATAAATAAGAAAATTATTGATAAAATTATTATAACAAGTATCATGAGAAAACTGTTAACTGCAAATCAATTCCCATTTGTTTTTTTTTTATATCAAATAGATAATGAGAATACCTGTAAAACCATGCAGGAGTTATAAATTGTGTAGAAAATAATTCAGGTGTATGCAGGGCCATATGGAGTCCAGAGTAGAGTTAGCCCTTTTTGCCCTTAGCAGCATATTTTCATTGTAATATTTAATTTTTTTTTGTTATATAACTGTTAAACAGAATTGAAAAGTTAGTCATCTAAAGTTGTTTAGAAATTTCTATCTAAAATTTGTAGTATAATAAATTAATAATAATTATTATTTTTAATAGCATGAAGACCTATGTAACATACAAAAAAAGAATCGGAAATTATTAAAGGAATGTGAAGGGTCTCTTTCAACTGTAGACATAGATAAAGAAATATATCCTTGGTATAATTATAAACCAGATATGACTGCATTGAAACAATGGTCAGAACGTTTAAAAAATGAAAGGAAAGTCAAAAGTAAGTTTTAGCAAATTTGATTTACAGTAGAGCATCGATTATCCGAGACAATTCGGGACTGGGGTTGTTCGGATAACTGATCATGTATGAAAAAATATATTAACCTATCCCATGTAGAAATTTTTCTCCATTGTGTGTCGCTTCGCGTTGAATTTTCGTCAATGTTAAACCTAACGAAAATTTTTTAAAAATAATAATCGTGGCTGTTGTAACAAAANGATAACTGATTATGTATGAAAAAATATATTAACCTATCCCATGTAGAAATTTTTCTCCATTGTGTGTCGCTTCGCGTTGAATTTTCGTCAATGTTAAACCTAACGAAAATTTTTTAAAAATAATAATCGTGGCTGTTGTAACAAAATAAATATATTGAAAAATAAATTATATTTCGGAAGTTAATCTAATATCAAAAACGTTCCGATTCAGCACGACACGACCCGACAACACAGTCCTCAGAAAAACACCACACAAAACAAGCAAAACTCTTCCTTTTTCTTGGGTTTATCTGGCGATGTCAGCCGCTTGGGCTATATTCTCCGACGAGCTGAAGCAAAACACACCACTCACGATGGGGGGAAAAAGCCTTGTTCAAATACTTGTGCATCCTTAAGTATCCTCTCGATGTGTGTCATGCTGAATCGGAACATTTTTGATACTAGATTAACTTCCGAAATATAATTATTTTTTTGTTTTTACATTTTTCAATATATTTATTATGTTTGTGCGAAATAAAAAAATAATTTTTAATGATACAATATGCTTATGCCACTACTGCCAACTAAAACATGCACACCAGCAAAAATAATATTGGTGCAGCCCAAGACATAGTCAAATATTGCAGTGCTACAGCACTAGTGGAAACTTGAATTTGCCGACTGGAACGCTTTCGGATAGCAGATGTTTCGGTTGATCGGTATTCGGATAATTGATGATACACTGTATTGGTAATACATTAGAAATGCATATGCTGTAGACAATAAAAGTATATACACATAATATATAACTAATTTAAAGTATATGCTGCAGTTTAAAAATATAAATTAGTTAGGATTTATACTATCCTAGGCTATAGTTAATTAACATTCATACAAATTTTATGTAAAAAATTTATTTTCATACGTTTATGCTATATTATTCTGTTTTATAAATACAGTATATTATTATATAACAAATAATAATTATTTTAATATTCCAAATATAGGGTTGGCAACTAAGTGATTGCGGATTTTGTCAATAGGTGGCCTTAGCACATTTTTTTGCTTTGTTTTCTTGTTGTTTGGACTTCCACCTTTAATTTAGTAAAAAAATTGTATCGATTAGTTATTTAGTTTTGTTTTTATCCCAATTTAAAAGTGGAAGAACAAGACGTGCATTTCAGACATATTTTATTGTATTATTTCCGAAAAGGCAAGAACACATCATAAGCATACAAGAAGTTATGTGCTGTATATGGGAATGAAGCCTTGAAAGAAAGGCAGTGTCAAAGTTGGTTTGTCAAATTTCGTTCTGGTGATTTTTCACTGAAAAATGCTCAACGATCTGGCCGTCCAGTTGAAGTTGATGAGACCCATATCAAGACCATTATCGATTCAGATCGTCATAGCACAACGCATGAGATTGCACAGAAGCTCAATGTATCGCATACATGCATTCAAAAAAAATTAAAACAGCTTGGCTTTGTCAAGAAACTGGATTTATGGTCCCTCATCAGCTTAAGGAAATTTATTTGACACAATGCATTAGCATCTGTGATTCACTTCTGAAACACAACAAGATTGATCCATTTCTGAAATGACTGATTGCTGGCGATGAAAAGTGGATAGTTTATAGCAACGTTAATCGGAAAAGATCGTGGGTGATGTGAGATGAACCAGCCCAGATGACACCAAAAGCTGAGATTCACCAAAAAAAGATTATGCTCTCAGTTTGGTGGGATTATAAAGGAATTCTGTACTTTGAACTTTTACCAAGAAACCAAACAATTAATTCAAATGTGTATGTTCAACAAATCACCAAACTAAGCGATGCAGTTCAAGAAAAGCGGCCAGAATTGGCAAATTGCAAGGATGTTGTTTTCCAGCATGATGATGCAAAGCCCCACACATCTTTGGTCACTTGCCAAAAATTATTGGAGCTAGGTTGGGATGTGTTGTCACGTCCACCATATAGCCCTGACCTTGCGCCTTCAGATTACCATTTATTTCATTCCATGCAGAACTCCTTAAATGGTAAAATTTTTAATGACACTGATGATGTAAAAACACATTTAATTCAGTTTTTTGCTGGCAAAAATCAGAAGTTTTATGAACATGGAATTATGACACTGCCTGAAAGATGGCAAGAGGTCATTGACAAAAATGGACAATACCTAATTGAATAAAGTTATATTTTTAAGCAAAAATTTTGAATTTTCCTTCTTATTTAAAATCCGCAATCACTTAGTTGCCAACCCTATAT